TTAAAGCATCAATCAAGTGAACAAAAAACTTCACAGTCTAATTTTAGTTCAAAAAAAGATGTTTAACAAAGGAAACTGTATAATTTGCCTGTCACTATATGAAATTTAAAAGCTATTCCAGGCTTTTAAATTTCACATAGTGAAATGGCGCAGTGGCTCACACCTGTAATCCCAGCACTTTGGGAGGTCAAGGAGGGCGATCATGAGATCAGGCATTCAAGACCAGCCTCGCCAACATGGTGAAACCCCATCTCTACTAAAAATACAAAAATTAGCCAGGTATGGTGGTGTATGTCTGTAATCCCAGCTACTCAGGAGGCTGAAGCAGGAGAATCACTTGAAACCAGAAGGCAGAGGTTGCAGTGAGCTGAGATCACACCACTGCACTGCAGCCTGGGTGACAGAACGAGACTAAGTCTCTAAATAAATAAATAAAGTTATTTCTATCACTATTCTTAACACATGTATTTTGCCTACCAAAATAATCCATTTTCAGAATGAATTAACCAAAATTTCTCAAAGGTTACAAAAAGATCTTCAAAATATCTGCCAGATTCATCAGTTTTCTCACAAAAGATTATAAATTACGTCCCAAAAGTCTGTCATTTATATTTCACCTATTATTACTCATTAGACTTTTTTAAACCAGGTCTTAGTGCTTTTTCAGGAAAACACCAATGTGCAAAAGGAGGTTCAGGCAGTATTTTAAAAATAGTTCATTTTCTATCATAATCCATAAAACACTTTCTACTTTAGAAGCAATCCTAAGAAAATAGTAGCATCATGAGTCACCCACTTCTATATCCAATTTCCTCAGAAAAGAAATTCACATAAGAAGTTATACCATGTGAAATATGCAAAATTATGGTCTGGAATCTTAAATCCACTGTCACTACTTGATCCAAAACTATTTTGAAAGCAGCCAAAAAAGCAACTGTCATCCAAGTGTGTAGTCTGAGACATGAAGACCAAATTGTTTCACAGTATTAATCTTCTCTGCTGTGAGTGAAACCAGAGTTGTACCATCCAGTGAACAAAACTCACTTTCTCATCAGTTATTAAGATAATCTCAAAAAGCTATATGAAACAAGGATGAATCAACAATAAATCATTAAAATATGATCTATAAACTGACCTTTCCGTTTCCTTCCCTACATTTTGAAGATAAACAAAATACACTTTGGAGTATTATCATTTGTATTTCCACACTGCAGAACACCTCTCATACAGGAGCAGCCACCTTCCCTCCCAAAACTCTAAAGGGAGAAGGTGGTCAATTTAATAGGCAGAAACTCTTGCACCCGTTCTGCTCCCCGCCCTTTACTTAAATGAAGAAAACACCTCATTCTGGTGTCCAGAAATGACAGTCTTAAGATGACACCACTTGTCTGCAATGGTGGTGAAAAAAAATAAAACAACACAAAATTATCAATTTCTAAGAAAAGTTAAAAAATGATATGTCTCCGTAAGGCCCTTTAGTGTGTATGTGGTATTTACACACACACACACACACACACACACACACACACACACACACACACACACACACACATTTTTGCCTTTTCTCTTCCTCCTCCACTGCATCGAGTTAAGATCAGTGTACTTTTCACTATTTGGGAAAATACAAATATCACACTTTTAAAATAAAAGGCCAGATACTCTTTCTAGGCAATTAAGCCATTTCAGTCTTTCAATCCACAATTAGTATTTAAGGAATTCACATCAATTTGAATATCTGCCTAAGTAATAATATAACAGGCAAGTTTTTAAAATATTTTAAGTTTATTTATTTATTGCTTCCTTAAGCTAAGTGGCAAGAAAATAATATCATTTTTTAAATCAGAAAGTATATCCCAAAGTCTAAAGAGAAAGGTATAATGATTGTTCACATCTGTTCAATAGTTCAGACATGACTTGACTGAACAGACTGACCAAAACTAAAGATAATTATTTACTCTCAAACGTAACACATTATAAACAAGGCTCTCCAGAATTTTTCTCAGCACTTTTCAGTATTCTGAAAGGACTTAATACTGTTACTTATTGTTACTTATACTTTTCTTTTTTTTTTTTTTTTTTTTTTTATGAAAAGTTATTCCATGTTACTCAGGCTAAGGTGTAGTGCCGTGGTCTTGGCTCGCTGCAACCTCCACCTCCCAGGTTCAAGCGATTCTCCTGCCTCAGCCTCCCGAGTGGCTGGAATTATAGGCGTGTGCCACCATGCCCAGCTAATTTTTCTATTTTTAGTAGAGACAGGGTTTCACCATGTTGGTCAGGCCGGTCTCAAACTCCTGACCTCGTGATCTGTCTGCCTTGGCCTCCCAAAGTGCGAGGATTACAGGCATGAGCCACCACACCCAGGCTGTTACTTATATTTTTCTATGTACAGCAAATATTAGAATCCAATCTTCTTATATCTTTCTATTGACCCAAGCTATTACAATACTTCCCCAACTGAACTCCATCTGAAAACCTATCCTGTTTTAAGGTAATGAATCACAATTATGCAAGGTGACAGAAACTGCAGGGGGTAGTATAAGCATGCTTTCCAAAGTAATTCTTAAGATTTAGGAAAATTGTTAGTGTAAGCTTAGCTTTAAACTCTTAACATATATTTCAGTCAAAGAGTCCATAGAAAAATGACTTTTTAAAGATAATTAATTGAAATTCTTCCACAAATTTAATGATTAAAAGTTGAGGCCGGGCACAGTGGTTCATGCTTATAATCGCAGCACTTTGATAGGCCAAAGCAGGGGGATCACCTGAGCTCAGGATTTTGAGACCATCCTGGCCAACATGGTGAAATCCCATCTCTACTAAAAAAAATACAAAAACTAGCCAGGTTGGGGGTGCATGTCTGTAGTCCCACCTACTTGGGAGGCTGAAGCATGAAAATCACTTGAGCCGGGAAGGCAGAGTTGCAGTGAGCCAAAATTGCACCACTGCACTCAAGCTTGGGCAACTGAATGAGACTTCATCTCAAAAAAAAGAAAAAAAAAAAAAAAAAAATATATATATATATATATAATAATTAAAAGTTGAGGTGTGGGATGCACTAAAGTCACTTGGGGAAGCATTCTATGCTGCCACTGTCCTTAAGACTTATTCCAATCAAAAATAATAGAACAAAAATTTTTTTCCCTTTAAATTCATATCCACACTCAAAAAAACACAAGTTATTCAAAATTATAAATCCACTTACTCAGGAGAACCTCATTATTTCAAAATGTATTTTTATCATTTTTAAGTATAAATAAGCAAACCCTTTAAAAGTAGGATTCAACACTAGGGGAAAACAGAATAAAATATTAAACATGATATAGAAGTATGATTTAGGAAAATTAAAGTTATTCTAACATGAAAAGAGAAACTTAATTTTTTTCAGTTTTCCATTCATAGTTGCCATTCATAGTTGTATATTTTCCAGCTACTCATTAACCTTCTTTCCTCAGACCTACACTGACTCTATCACTCAGTAATTCAGGATATCACCTTCTGCACAAAGAACAGTAATTTTCAACTAACAATTGAATTAAGTTAGACAAAGCCCTCTTTGTGGTCTGTTTTGAGTAAAGGTAACATTTGGTGGTAATTACATCTATCTTCTTTCTCACGTCATTTTTCTCCTCTTATCCTCAACATATAATTAACCTTTCTTTGATGCTGTAAAACTTCTCATTCATATTTAGCATAAACATTCACCTCATACATACCATTTTCAAAGCACCTCATAACAGTAATTATTGCTAACAGTTATGGGGTGCTTACTACGTACCACACACTGTTCTAAGAGATTGTCATATATTTGGTCACATATTAACTCAGCTAATCTTTACAGCTCTATGAAGTGGGAATTATTACCCTCATATAATAAATAGGGAAAATGAGTCAAGGACAGACAGTGCCATACCCAGGGACACATGGCTAATGACTGGTAGAGTTGGTATGAAATGTAGCAGTCACATGCCATGTCAGATTCAATAGAACTAAGTGCCCACCATATACTTTCACCTTCCTTGACTACATTAGGACCAATCTGACATTAGCAAGAGAAATTAATCTACAAAGCATGATTAAAAGCTCAGGTCCACAATTAAGCATAAGAATATACAGAAAACACGGCTAGGACTTTTGGTAAATACCGGGGCAATTTTCACAAGGGAAGGCATGAAAGGGTATGTGCCTTGGTATGAGAGCCTAAATACAAGGGCCACAACCCAGTCAATCTGGAAATGTCGACTTTAATTATCATCTCCTCCCTCAAACTCCTCATTGTTTTATCATCATGTCTTACTTGATTCCCTAAGTAGTATTCTCAACCAGAAAAATATTTTTCACAATAATCCTCTCAAATCTATCTTCTCCAAGTTTGAATAGCAAGTCAATCTTCTGAAGACCTCAATATCACCTGCACCAATTCATCAAACTTCCAAATCAAGAGTTAACTGAGAGAATCTCACTCAAGAGTATAAAAAATTATAGCAAACCTGAGAGCCTCCCCACTCAATTCTTCAATGTCCACAGTAAATTGGGAATAAACCTAACCATCATACTGGGACAAGGCACACTTCACAGCACACAATTTCAGGGTATCTACTTAACTGCTAGGATCATGAAGAATCTTCTCCTTCTACTTTAGGCACTTCTAGACAGCTGGAATTTTTTTTATTTTTAAACAGAACATACACCACTTTTGGGGGGTTAACTTCAAGGATTTTCCCACTCAAAATGGGAAACTTAAGTATCCAATCACCATTAACTTTGTATTCATGAATCTCACAAAAAAAAAAAAAAGGAAAGGAATTTAACCAACTTTTATATTACTCAGAAAAGTCACCAATGAAAACAACAATATCATAGGCTTCTTCATAACTTTGCTAGTATTGGCGGGAAACACCGGTCATATAATTTATGGTTGACTAACTCAACAGTTTCATGTCATTTAAGAACAATAAAGATAAATTCACAAATATTTTAAATAAAACAGAAAAAAGAAATACCTCAAGTTCCACCAGTGCTGCAGTCACTGCATCAGTTGCAAGAGCACCAGCCTGCAGCTTTTCAATTGCCTATGAAACCAAGGGGAGAGAGATTATTCACTGCAAAATCACAGCTTCTCAAACTTTCCAAAGGTTTAAAGAAGTATGGGAGACACTTAGATTAATAAAAATTGACCACTTGTTCCATTCCATACTTTAACTACTCAGATTTAAAATCAGCAAGTGTTTATATTCAGGTTAATTGGTGATATGGCTTACTTAATATTACTCAAATAAAAACAATAAAATCTAGCTATTAAATAAAAAGTACAAGGAATTTGGTACGCTTCATTCATTGTAAGGCAATTCAAAATAGCCACAGAAATCTCAAACTAATCATTTCTCCTCCCACTGTTAATACTCTCCACACTGAAAAAGAAGTGACTCTCAGTAACAGGGGCATGCCAGATCTGAGGACAAAAGGATTCATTTGACAAAAATATTTTTGATACTCTAATGTAAAGTTTAAATCAAGATGAATCATATTATTTTGTAATATAAACTACACAGAGTAAAGGTCTATAAAATCACCTGGCATTGAGCATAAATTAGAAGAGAAAAAAAAAGAGAAGGGAAAGTCTTTTATAAATGAATTATTAACATTCCAATTTGGTCAACAAAGAGAAAGCTCAAAACTAAGAGTTGTATACCACATTAAACTTTTAAGAAGTTTGTTCATTGTAAATACTGAAGAGGCTAAGCATACAATTCAAATGTATTAGATTTCTAGGAGTATAGTTATATAAAACTTATTTATTTCAGATAATAGAAAAATTTCACACTTTGAAAAATAAGAAAAAATATAGGCCAGGCACGGTGGCTCACGCCTGTAATCCCAGCACTTTGGGAGGCCGAGGTGGGCGGATCACGAAGTCAAGAGATGGAGACCATCCTGGCCAACATGGTGAAACCTCGTCTCTACTAAAAATACAAAAAATAGCCGGGCATGGTGGCACGTGCCTGTGGTCCCAGCTACTCGGGAGGCTGAGGCGGAAGAATCGCTTGAACCCGGGAGGCGGAAGTTGCAGTAAGCCGAGTTTGTGCCACTGCACTCCAGCCTGGCGACAGTTAGACTCCGTCAAAAAAAAAAAAAAGAAAAAATATAAAATAACTTAGAGAACCTTTAGCTTTATTATAATAAATTTCAAAAGAACAAAATCCCTATAGCAAAATATTTTTATTTATAGGATTTCATTCATAAGAAAAAGCTTGAATCTCTGATAAAGTGTAATCATCTTTTAAATGTTACATAAATATCAATGAAAAGAGCAGAAGGAGACCCGTATTTACTTGATATACAATATCCAACTAGATCCCATTTGCACAAAAAGTAATGGAACGTTTGGCTACAAGACTAGTCAGAATCAAAATAAATACAAACATTTCTTCTGAGTCCATTCCTACTCCCACACTAAATATTCAGCAATTTAGCAAAAACTCAAAAACCAATGGGGAAAAAAGCACAACTGAGTATAAGGGCAAAGCTGAACTCAGGAATGACAACAAACTTGCTCTTACAAACTACGCAATGAAAAACAGAATGAAAACATATAGGATAATCTCTCTCAAAAAAGCACCCATTTTAATTTATTTATTTTTTTCCCTTCATGGAAAAACATATTGACTGCCTTTAAGCTGTTTTCTCTATCCTTCTGTCTACAGAAGTTCAACATCATTGCAAAGATTAAAAGAGATATGATTGTATGCCCACAATTACAAAAATACAGACTTTAATCTGGGGAAGGAAGATAAAGGGCTAAGCATCACGTGGAAAATTAAAAACACAAAACAATCCGCTACAAAAATAAGCAAAATAATTTTGTGGTACAAACTGGAAGAAGACTGTCCTAGAAATGAAACTTTAAAATGTTGAATTTCAAGGCAAAACAGCTTTGTGTTCAAAACTGAAATGCTTAGATCATTCACATTGTGTTCATACCTTCTGACAAGCTCGTTTGCATACATGTTTATATTCCTTGGCTTTGGATTCAGAATGATAACCTGCACCTGCAGTACAAAATAAAATCCAGTTGTTAATTATTAAAATATCAAGAGACCTTGTTTATGTTACATAAATAGTCCATATAAACTGGCGCTGTCCTAGTAAAAACAAAACTATTGCACTAACTGTATGGAGTTTTATGACTTCTTTCTCCAGGGTAAGCCTTTTTAATACCATGACTCCATGACTTATCTCCTTTCCCAAAAGCTCTTTTCCTTCCAAAAGCTCATGTCCCTAAAGAGGCTTCACCAAGGTCACCTCCCCTCTTGCTTTCAAGAACCTCTTTCCAAAATCAGGAGTTCTTTTGGTCTGGAGCTGATAACCCAGAAGGTATCAGAAACAGGGTTCCTTCAGGTCCTCTCTGCTGACCTTCAGAAAGCCCCCACCGTTCGGGAAGTTACTGTTCCAAATCCAGAATTTATAAGAATAATTCAGAAAGCTGGATCGCTTCTAAGTAACATTTGAAGTTGAGGAATCTTACATCTCACATGTCTATAACCACCACAAATCACACCATTCCTAACCTAACACTTCACATCCTCTCACCCGCTAGAATGTAGTTCAGGGTGTCTCTGAAAGCTCAGTGACAGCACATTCATGACTGTCTATGAGAATTTCTGGTGGTCTCTGTCTTTTAATCAAATACCCAAGACTTGCTCCAGAGAATGGCTCAAATAAAACAGTTTCCCTACCAGGATTCATAACTTGCTTAGGTAAGGACTTAAGAATAATCTAAACAAGAAGAAAACAAATACAAGAGCCCTTAAACTCTTAATTAGGCCACTCTGTAATCAAAGTTTGTTAACAGAGCACTGAACCACCTCTCCCTAGCCACCCCTAAAGCCTCAAAGGGGTCCAATGTAAGGAAGGTTAAGAACTACATCTCAGCCGGGTGCAGGGGCTCATGCCCGTAATCCCAGCACTTTGGGAGGCCAAGGTGGGAGGATCACTTGTGGCCAGGAGTTTGAGACCAACCTGGCCAACATGGAGAAACCCTATCGCTACTAAAAATACAAAAATATTAGCCAGGCATGGTGGCACATGTCTGTAATCCCAGCTACTCAGGGGGCTGAGGCACAGGAATTGCTTAAACCTGGGAGGCAGAGGTTGCAGTGAACCAAGATCATGCCACTGCACTCCAGCCTGGGCAACAGAGTGAGACTCTGACTCAAAAACAAAACAAAACAAAACAAACATGTTTTCCATTAAAAAAAAAAGAAAGAAAGAAAAAAAGCTACATTTCTAGGCCTTAGGACTCCTCCTACAGGTCTGCAAACTGACACAAATCTAACCCACCTTTCCTCAAAGCAGAGGAAGCACTCGCACACCGAACTGTCACACAAGGACCCAGAAAAGCAGAGATGCCTAAGCCACCAGAATCCACAACATACCCAAATCCTAAGCCTGTTTCTCAAGAGAACTCTGAACATTCACAGAGCCTGTGCCAATATTTAAAAGGCCTCTCTTTATCGTTCTCTAAGAAAAGGTGATACCAAGTTGGCTGTCTTACATCTCAGAGGCCCCAATCTTTGAGCAGCATTTCCTAAAGCATGGGATACTACTCCAAATAGATGACTCCAGCGTAATGGACAGGGGCACTAAATAGTCTTAACATGTAAATCCTTTTGAAAGAATAAAAGTCTCAGTAGCGCCCCAGTATATCTTTAATTCCTGGTTAACACTTGCTAATTTCCCCTTTTAACAATGGAAACGCAGGCTCAGAATCCAAGGCACTGACAAACGGGATCCAGTTAAAATGTAGAGTGTTTTGTTTGCACTGTGTTTAAAGTTATGTTCTCTTTATGGCAAGTGATACTGCTATTTCATTTAAGTAACCATAAACTTCATCTTTCAAATGTTAAGATGAAAAAAGTTTAGTTGTTTGAATATTAGATAAAACAGTATAGGCAGTGGGAAAAATCAAGAATCTATTACACAAATCATAAAAGTTTGGGCAAGTCTACTCTAAAAAACAAAACTGCTCTACATTGAATGAGGATGTGAATTTTTGACCCTTAAATGTGCAAGATATATCCGTCTGCATAATCAATCACTCTGACTCTCTAATAATTTAGAAGTGAGGGTCACCCTTAATTCACACAATATCCTACCATAACTCTGAGTACCTACTCTTCTTGCTGGTCCCCAGCACCAACTATACCTGAAAGTATGAAATTAAATAATTCAAACCTAAAACTGTTGAACCATTAAATCATTCTGAGTCTTGAGAGGAATGTGGCTGTGCAGCCTGAGTCACACAACATGCAGCTGCAACTTTTGCTTTTTTCCTGTAAATAATTAGGAAAATCAAACAACACCAGAGATAAGACCCTCTCAGATCACTGCCCCTCCTCACTAAGTAAAAAGTAATCTCACTTAGGATGTAATAATTTGTAACCCATCAAATTGCTGTAACTTATGCACTGGTCTGGTATGGAAAATGTTATTATTCTGCTAAAATTTTTCTCTCTACTTATATAAATGAAACTTTAACTTCTCCACTTTGGAACACTGACCTCATTTGTTTGGAGTCAGTGTTTCCCAGGTGGGCATCCTCAAGCTTTGCACATGAATTGTTGAATCCCATTATTTAAGGTTGGCAGAGCCATTATCATCTAGTCTAAGAGAGGAGGGACAGGGTCATGACAGTAATAGAAAAGTAGGGCTTCCAACTAATTGAAGCTTTATGTTATTGCTTGTTACAACATTCAGATCTTTCGTTTACACTTTCCAAACACTCACTCTGAAAACAGTAACTCACTGGTACCATGGAAGATGCTCCATCAACATAGTGTAGCAGAGAGAACACAGACTAGGAGTCTGAAGGCAGGGCTCTAGTTCCAGGTCTACTTTTAGCTAGGTTATTTCTGGTAAATTTACCTCACCTCCTTGTAAAAGCATCTGTGAGACAATGAAATTAAACCTGGTTTTTGTTTTTTGGATTTTTCTTTTCTTTAGATAATCTGGATTAGATTCACATAAGGCTTCTTGGTTGTCAGTCTAGATACAGCCAAAGGTTAATGGCCAGGCAGGACACCAGTCTCATGAGAGGAAATAGTTCTACTCTTCATTCCATATCAAAGTAATCCTTCCGTCATCTTGCTTGACTACCCAGGGAATGTTAAAAGGAAACTCAGACACTCCTTCTCTCTTCATGGAGGTCATAGAAAGTGGATTCTGAATGCAAGAAAATAAAAATGGCCAAAGGAAAAAGAGCCCGCTGAGGAAACCTGGGCAACCCAAGACCTTTCAAAGATGGGAGACCCAGGGGATGAACGGTGTCTGTCCTCATGGTCCTCTGAAATAGAGAGATCGCAGGCTGACACAGTGCCAAAAGCACTAGAATGAGACATAAGGGCGTACATAGTTGTTTCTTAGGCTGGCTCTAGCACCAACTTGCAGTGTAGCTGAAGTCACTTAAGTCACTTAATCTCTCTGGTCTTAAAGTTCCTCACTTCCAGTATTAAGAAGGTGGGCCAGGTGCAGTGGCTCATGCCTGTAATCCCAGCACCTTGGGAGGCCAAGGCAGGTGGATCACCTGAGGTCAGGAGTTCGACACCAGCCTGGCCAATATGGTGAAATCCTGTCTCTATTAAAAATACAAAATTTAGCCAGACATGATGACAGACGTCTGTAATCCCAGCTACTTGGGAGGCTGAAGCAGGTGAATAACTTGAACCTGAGAGGCGGAGGTTGCAGTAAGCTGAGACCATACCCATTGCACTCCAGCCTGGACAAGACGAGCAAAATTCCATCTCAGAAAAAAAAATTACTTTGTCCGGTCTTAATACTTACATAACCTAAATATATCTGTTATATAGGGTTAAAGTAAATAATGGGGTAGGGAAGTGAAGACCTAGGAAGAGCTGCCATTATAAGACCTTCTAACTGGGGAGTAAAGGAGGTTCTCACCATACCAAAGTCAAACAACCTCTTTGGTTCCAATTCCTCTCTGGCAATTTTGCCTCCTCCAGACGTGAAATGCGTTTCTCAGTGTACTTCAAGGCAGAAAAAGAAAAATCGACATTACTGGTATCTTCGAAGCCATCCACAAAGCTTACCTGCATGCACCAGCACAAAGCCTCCTCGTTTCTCTTTATAGGACTGCTTTGTTTCCAACTCTTTGGCTGTTATTTTACCAGCCGAAACCTGAGATGATCTGGAAGGCAGTCCTTCTCCAGAACTCATCCCCTTCTCCATGGTCATTCTCCAAGATTACCATCTTCTATTGAGAAAGGGGCATACTTCCATCCAAAAGTAATTGCAGAAGAGGAATTACCCTAGAGGAAAAGAGGCAAATATGGTATATATTTCTTTCTACCAAAACACAAGTTACTTACATAAATTCATGCAAAGATAACTTTCAAAAGTCCTATTCTTAAAGTTATTTAACTGGATAATACAAAAAAAGCTATCAAAGTTATTTATTAAAATCACTTTTTCTTGCTCCCATTGAAGTTGGATAAAATTATTTAATTGGGTAACATAAAAAGGTTAGAATTTAAATCTCTCTGTCCGCTGATAGTACCTGCTTGGGCCCGGGCACGGTGGCTCAAGCTTGTGATCCCAGCACTTTGGAAGGCCAAAGCAGGTGGATCACCTGAGGTCAGGAGTTTGAGACCAGCCTGGACAACATGGTGAAACCTCATCTCTACTAAAAATACAAAAAATTAACCACACATGGTGGTAGATACCTGTAGTCCCAGCTACTCAGGAGGCTGAGGCAGGAGAATCGCTTAAAACCGGGAGGCAGTGGTTGCAGTGAGCCAAGATCGTGCCACTACACTCCAGCCTGGGCAACAAGAGCAAGACTCTGTCTCAAAAAAAAATTAAAAATAAAAAAGTACTTGTGGCTGGGCATGGTGGCTCATGCCTGTAATCCCAGCACTTTGGGAGGCCAAGGTGGGTAGATCACCTGAGGTCAGGAGTTCAAGACCAGCCTGGTCAACATGGTGAAACCTCATCTTTATTAAAAATACAAAAAATTAGCCAGTGTGGTGGCACACACCTGTAATCCCAGCTACGCAAGAGGCTGAGGCAGGAGAATCGCTTGAACTCAGGAGGCGGAGGTTGCAGTCAGCCAAGATTGTGTCACTGCACTCTAGCCTAGGTGACTGTGTCGAAAAAAAAAAAAAAAAAAAGAAGAAGAAAACATAAAGAAGTCACTTAGCTGTCTACTCTGAAAAAAAAAGCAGGTTATTCTGAACACAGTCTGCATCCCAGTGTTAATTACCAGCTCACAAGAGAGTATTATTTTATTCATATGTTAGTTGCTTTAAAAGCACATTTTCAATAAACAATACGGGTAGTTGTCACAATTCTTTTCTAGTACCTCATGCTTTTTTTTTTTTTTTTAATAATTTTATCTGCTGATAAAGCAAAGATTTGAGCTTTTAAGTTTCAAATTTGTTAGAATGTTTGTTTTCTGGTGGTATTTGGGCAGTTTTCGGTTTATATTTTACATAAGTATTGGTCCACAACGGAATGAAAATTTTTGCTAGTCTTTTATAACAGAGACAGTCTGAGAAGCACTGCTATGTGGCATTTTTGAATTCCCTTAATTCTTGGTTTAAGAGAGTCCATTTAATTTTTACTATATAACATTCTATTTATAAGACAAATAGTTTAAAATTATATATACACACTCTTGTATTAAAATATTTACACAGATTCATAAATGCAGGACAAAAATTTTATTACAAAAGTGCTGATTTTTATTAAGTAAAGTAAATTAAAATGCCTGGTTTTCTTTTGTTTTGTGGTGGTGGTTGTCTTCCTAACCATATTTTTCTTGCTAAGACTTCACAAGAATCTGCCTCAATTACCTTTATTTTCCTTTGGTTATTTCTCACAATATTTCTCTGAAATAGGCTATCATTTAGCCATGTATGAGTTGACAAAGTGGATTTAGTGGTTCACCTGTCAGCCTATACATGCCACTATGTCTGTATCATGCCATCATATTTGGCCCAGCAATGAAATGATCTTGGGCCCATTAGTCTAGGAGCACAAACACACATAAAGTGAAAACTCAGGCTTTGGAAAATTAAGAGCTTCCACTAAAATGAAAACACTTCTAAGCAGTACAGATTATGAAACCTCAAGCTACTTTGACTCACTATCATCTGAGGTATATTTTCATAAATAAAAAATTATAATATTTATATTTTACAAGAAAATACATGGCTGGGCGCAGTGGCTCACTCCTGTAATCCCAGCACTTTGGGAGTCCAAGGCGGGTGGATCACAAGGTCAGGAGTTCAAGACCAGCCTGACCAACATGGTGAAACCCCGTCTCTAATAAAAATACAAAAATTAGCTGGGCATGGTGGTGAGCGCCTATAATCCCAGCTACTCAGGAGGCTGAGGCAGAATTGCTTGAACCCAGGAGATGGAGGTTGCAGTGAGGCAAGATCATGCCACTGCACTCCAGCCTGGGTAACAGAGTGAGACTCCGTCTCAAAAAAAAAAAAGAAAAGAAAATACAAGCATAATTATAACATTAACATTTTTCTTATTTTTTTATTTTTTATTTTTTTATCAAGACAGGGTTTCACCATATTGGTCAGGCTAGTCTTGAACACCGGACCTCAGGTGATCCGCCCGCTTTGGCCTCCAAAGTGCTTGCATTACAGGCGTGAGCCACCACGCCCGGCCAACATTAACATTTTTATATGGTTTGATGTAACAGGCATTTTAGTATACATGAGAGATTTTTTAAATTGCTTCTCAACATTATCTAAAAAGAAATAAAATGTGGAAGGTGATTAATACTCCATTTCTTGAGCAATCTACCCTCTCTCAGAGACTATCTGAAATATATTTATTTAGAAAACCATGTAATCTCAACAAACTCCTCCAAAAATGCTGGCCCTAAAGTTTCACTGGGCTGGGAAAGGAACTCAACTAGATGAACTATCAGTATACTCCCAATGGTTACTGAAATATTTCTTATTCAATTAGAACCGAAGCAACTTCCACTCCAATATCAGTTTTTGTTTAACTCAGAACTCATCAAAGGTCTGACATCTAATAAATAAAGAGGGCAAACAAAAGAAAAAACAGAAAAAGGGGCAAATGGGCAAATCTCAGTTTGCAGAAAAATTACATAATACCTTAACCAGACAAAAACTGCTAAATCTCACTCAAAAGAAAGATGCAAAATAAAACTACATTTAAATACCATTTTTTAACTTAGATTGGCAAATATCAAAAAATGACATTTTGAGGGTACAGAAAAACAGGAGCTCTCATTAAGTTGCTAGTGTCATTATAAATTGGTACAGCCCAACAACAGCAATTTGGCAAAGTGAATCAAAATTAAGATACAGACCCAAAATGTCTTGATGGAAGTGGTTAAAAGGAAAAGCAGCCGTCGGAAACAATGACAAAACTTGATAAACATATATGTAACAGTCTCAAACATATTTGGTAAGTAAAAATGGAATGGAAATAACTAATTTTTTAAGGTATGGTACAGAAGTATTTGCAGTACCCTATGGGCAGGAAGAAGGGGAGAATACAGTTAAATATATAAGCAAAGTGCAAATCTGGATGGATAAACAAAAAAAGTCATACAACACTCATTACCAAAGGAGATTTGGGTAACCAACAGCAAAAGATGGGATAGAAATTTCACCGTTCACCACCTTGAACTTTTCAAATTTGAACCATCTGAATGAATTACTCACAACAAAAAAAAATTTTTTTTTTTTTAATTATATAGAGATGGGGTTTCACCACGTTGGCCAGGCTGATCTCAAACTCCTGACCTCAAGTGATCCACCCGCCTCAGCCTCCCAAAGTGCTGGGATTACAGGTGTGAGCCACCGCGCCCAGCCAACAAAAATTTTTTATTCATATTTTCATTTATGGGAACACTAGGTAATAAGCTAAGCTAAAGAACCAAAATAGGATAAGCATATTTCTGTGAATATCGAACTGGGATGCATAAACTACAGGAAATCCAAATGGGGTGGGGGGCGGCGTGGCGAATCATAGTATTTGATCTCTACAGTTAAGACTAGGCAGAAAAATAAATCATGACTGTAGATTATCATCAAATATCTCTGTGATGTTTTTATTGTATATGTAATCATTCTTACAAATCATGTGAAACTGGTTAAGTGTACTTACATCAATACATAGATCAACAAGAAAAATGTCTAGTACTTCAGCTAAGCTACAAGGTAACACTCAAAACAAAAGGTTTCCAATGAAAGGAGAAATATAGGCACATAATAGTTTTAGACGACAAAAAACAACTCTATACATTATTTTTATAATGGCTTTATTTCTGAATAAAATGTTTGAACACAGACATTTTGCAATTTCCTCCTAGTAATGATACTAAAATTCATCGTTATTATTTCTAAATAATATTGGCAACTTGTCTATCCTCCACAACCGTTACTCAAAAAGTTAAACAGAGTTATGCTAAGACCCAAGAATTCCACT